GTACAAAAAAAATTATATTTTTTAGCAAATGTTTTTGCTATATTTTATATGAATGTTTTTCATTTATATTTATATACTCAAATAACAAAAAGTAGTACATCTCAAATGTCATAAAGTAATCCCTTTTTTAATATTGAGAGTTTTTTTTATAATAACCGCAATAGGGCCACCATTGCAATTACAACTCTTTCTCAACTCTTTAACTCCAAAAAAAGGAAAACGTGAAGATGGGAGAGAGTTCCAAAGGGTTGAAGTGCGAGGAAAAAAACTAGATGAATGAATGTTTTTGGAGCATGCAGTGACAGATACAGTAAAAGAATGAGACTTTGCTGAATGATGAGTCAAGGAAGAATGAGTTTTGGTTAATGGGACTAGAGATAAAAGCTCTTTTGAGCAGCAGCCATGATAATATTTGTAGAAAAGGGAAATAGCAACTTTATGACGATGAAAAAGAGGCTCAAGCTTATCAGATGGACCAGGTCCAATTACGTTTACAATGCCTTTTTGAACCTTGTCAAGAAGAGAAAGAGCATCATTAGAAGTTTCAGCTCAAATATGACAACAATATTCCATACAGGGACAAATAAGTGAATTGTAGAGGTAGAGAATGGAATCAGGAGTAAGAAAATGGCGAGCACGATAAAGAGAAGCAACCTTATCAGATGCTAATTTAGCAATCTATTGCATATATGGTTTCCATGAAAGGTCAGTAGTAAATGATAATCCAAGAAGGCGTAAAGAAGAGGACTAAGTGAGAGGGTTGCCATCCATTAATATAGAAATTTTAACAGTACTGCAATAGTTGTTTGCAGTAAATAACTGAGTTTTGTTGGAGTTAAACTTTAAAAGCCACTGTGAGCCCCAATTAGTTACAGAAAGTGAGATCAGATTCAAGATTGGCTGCCTGTTCTAAGCGATCGAAAAGAGACTTAGAACAGGCAGCCGACTTTAAAAAGACTTTTTGTCAAGACAGGATAAAACTTTGAGTTACCCCAGAAGTTACTGGAAATGAAGAAGAGTGTTAGCCTTTGATAATGCCTTTAATAAAGGGGTAAGAAAAAAAATGATTTGATAATCTGAAAAACTTTTCCAGATACACCATATGAAACAAGCTTATGGAAAAGACCAATATGCAAATTTTTGTCAAAAGCCTTAGTAATCCAGTCAAAATAAACATTTCAGTTTACAATAATTCGTATAGAGCTGAAAATTAGTACATACTTTAGGGACATTATTACAAATAAAGTATTAAAAGTCACCATCAATATCTGCAAAAAAAGTTATTCAAGGTCAAAGTTATAAAAAAAAAGGTGATTTAAAAAAAAAGAAAATGTTTTAATAGATCAAACAAACGTATTAGATCATGAAAGTGTTTACTAAAATTGCCTTTATACATTTTCATAAGAATCATTATTCCTGAGATATTGCAATTCTTGCAAAAATATATTGCGAGAAGATATTGCAAGAATATGTTGCGAGAAAATATATTTCGATTTTATATAAAATATAATGCTAGAAAAGTAATTGCGATTCTTGTTAAATTACGAAATTAATATACCATAATATATACATTATATTTTTATATATTATTTATTATTAAATGATATATTATATATTAGTACGGGAACGTATGATCTGAACCACAAGCCGTAGAAAAGTTTTAATTGAGATATGACTTTAGCAATAAAAGCTGGAGTAATTTGAATGTCTAACAATGGGAGGAGACACATTTTTTATCTGAGAGGGAAAAAACATCAGCCCAAGGAGAGTCACAAAAAAAATTACGAAAAGAGTTCCAATCAGCTTTAGGATAGTAGTAAGTAGTGTGAGTCCGAAAACAAAGTACAAGACAAAAGATATGAAAGATTTAAAGAGATCATTGCATGGTCAGAACCACCTAAGGGAAAAAAAGGAGAAACTGAACTCAAGCTAGAATCATAGACCAGACATAAATTAAGGAGTGAAGGTTAATAATTAGGGTTGTCAGGAAAACGAGTCACAAAGTTAACTATCTTAGTAAGAAATTAAGAAATGCAGAAGTATAGGCTTTAGTGCCAGAGGGTCAGTGGCGTTAGAGCCAAGCCATTCAGTGTAATGAGTATTAAAGTCACCATTAAAAACAATATTGGCAGAGGGGTAAAGAGAGAGAGTATGGTCAATTTGATCAGAAATTATATCTAAAAGAGTGCAGTCTTGGGAAGTAGGAGAATGATAAAGAACAATGAGAAAGGTGATAAAGAGGTGTAAAGAGGAGTTAAGAGGTGCTAAGCAGAAGCACATAAAGAAATGGTCGAAGGATTCAAACCTGATTTCACAACAAATAGGTGAATTGATGCATATATAAACCCCTAAGCCAAGCATGTGACTGTTGGAGTCTTTTCGAATCAAAGGATAGTACCCATCAACATTGAGATCAGAAGAAGGAATAGCAAAATTTTAGATTAGAATCACTAAGAGTAAGCAAGTATGTTGAATTTTTTGAGTGGTAAGATTCAAATGATGGAAGGTTGCTTTGTAGACCACAAATATTAGTAAAAGATATATTAAAACAGTTAGGTGATGGGGATGGTTTTTTATGTTTAATATTTTGATTTACTTTTGGCATATTTAAGTTTAAAGAGAACTTGACTTGTTTATAGATAGAGCACGGCCTCCCAAGTTGTGAGCTATGCAATTTTCTCAGTCCTGTTAATTATCCCTAAGTTGTAACCAGCATCAGGGCTGAAAAATTATAGATTTTACTGGTTTTGAAAGAGAAATTTGGCTTCTGATACTTGTGTTTAGCCAAAATATATGGCGATAACATGCCAAACTCAGCTCATCGCCATTTATCTAAAACTATCAGGGACTACTAAAATAACGGGATGCGAAACTTCAAATCGATGCTAAAATGACGACAGGGCCAATTGTAAATGGTGATGCTAGTTTGATTTAACAAAGAAGTTATGAAAAACTTACATTAATCTAATTATATTCACATTTTAGAATACATTAAAGTGATATAAATTTATATTACTAGTATAATGTATATATTTTTCATCAGTATCGTACTGATAAAATATAGATTAATGCAATAGAAATATGGGAGATATTTACAACATTTTTCAAAAAAAACCTTTTTTTTTTGAAAAAAGTTGCTATTTTTATTGAAAAATCTAAAGTTTTTTTTAATTTTTGAAAGTAGTAAGATTGAAAAATTGTATTAAGTAGTTTTTAATTTGAGTAATTTATTTTAATTAATGAATCTATTAAGTGTTACAAAATGTTATGTCATATTTATAATAAATAATAATGGTGTTACTATTATTAGTTATAATCATGCAAAGAAAAAGTTCAATAGTTAATTGTACCACAAATTATTTAACATCAACTTCAGAAGAAAAGCTTCATGTTTACATGTTTTCAAGTGACACACAAAAGTTACAATATCGGTTGTAATCTATTCCAAATGCGTTTGAAAAAGTAACTTCAAATATGGGTGTGTGTGAAAAACACTGGCCACCAGGCTGCAAAATGCACAAGCCTCCTCGATCAAAGTTTGAGGTAAGCATCCTTAAAGTTATTTTTATTGATAAGTTTTACAATGACTAATTTTAATAATATCTTTTTTTTAGGTTCCTATTGATCCCCCATCTATTTTTCCTGGATGCACATCTTCAATGGTGCGCCAAACACAACCAAGATCTACAAATATAAATAAAATTTCTTTAACATCACGAAAAGCAATACTTGATGAGATGGATAATTTCAATCAAATTGATTTAATTAGATTTTATGATGTTGAAATAATGTTGTCTGAAACAAAAGAAAGGTAAATTTAATTTTTTTTCCCTTGTTTTATGATATTTGTTTGTTTTGATTTAAAGTTTACTTGTTATTAAATCTATTTTAGATATCCTCAATACTTTGCATTCATTGAAAATTCAAAAGTTATGTTTGATGTTTCTCGATCATGTCTACCTGAAACAGTATTTTCTGTTGAAATTATCTGTCATTCACGTCAAGTTAATATTTATTGTAGGCATACAAAAGTTAACTGCTATGACCTGCTCAGTTTTTCTCATTGTCTTACTCGGTGGTCACAGCTTGAAGCTATTGTCAAAAGAGTTTGTACCTCTGGTCCTGAAATAAAAGATGAGGTATTAAGTTTGATTAGTCAAATTGAAAATACATAGTGACACTTCTGAAGAAATTTCTTTCCTCATTGAACAACTACGCCTCACCACTTATTCTCCAAATGGACTGTGCTTTTCTACTTTATGTATACGTCGTGCACTTGAACTGTATTTGTCCTCCAGATGTTGTTATCGACATTTAAGAAATCTGCTTTGTTTGCGCAGTCCAAAGACTCTCATTTCAAAATTAGGAAGAGTTGGAGAAGTTGGAAATGAAAAAGAGTGCAATAATACAATCAAAGTTGTTTTTGAAAATTTTAATAGTTCTGAAAAGCGTTGCTGCCTTCTCTTTGATGAGATGTATATCAAACCAAGTGTTAGTTTCAGAGGAGGACACCTCATTGGATATAGTGAGGACAATCCCACTAAAATTGCAAAAACGTTATTTGTCTTTATGATTAAACCTATGTTTGGTAAACCTTCTTTTGTTTGTAGAATTTTACCAATATTTAAACTGTCAGTACACTTTCTTCACGATTTGATTATAAACATAAATAAACAAATAATTGATGCAGGAGGAGAATTACTGTGTCTTTTATCAGATAGCCATCCCACAAATCGAAGTGTTTACCAAAGTTTCGTTGTTAATAAAAGTTTTCCATGGCAAGGTGTTATAGAAAAAGAAAAACCAGTTATTATGCTACACAATCCACTTGTTTAAAAGTATAAGAAATAATTGGTTTACGGAAAAAACACAAACAATTAGTTTAAAAATTAATAATCAACCTCTCTCTGGTGATTGGTCTCACATTGTTCAATTATATAACAGACAGAAAATTTGTGTTGCCAAAACTACAAAGCTTTCACGCAAGTCAGTGTACCCTAGTTTGATTGATAGATAATGTTGCAAACATGGTTGAACAAGAACATGTATTGAACAGAACAAGTATTGAACAGTTTGCACCTTCAGCGGTTAAAATTATTCAGCAAAATAGTTTCTTTGGATGAAACTGACATTCATTGCTCACGCATACATTCAGACTGTTGCACAATGGATTTAATGGAAGAAGATATTATTTATTTAGATAAATGTTTAATTAATGCAGAAAATGATTCTATTAATGATCAGGAGAATGCTGCCTTTTTTTATATGGCTGGTTATGTACATCACAAGATCGATTCGCAGCGTGTAGTTGATATAACAACATCACAATCACCTAGTTCTGAATATACAGATTATGTTTCACGTGGTAAATTGCGTTATCCTCATGATACTCTTCTCCAGTTTATTTGTGTTTGTTATCTACTGTTTAACAGCGTTCCAATGTCTGAAAAATGTTTTCAATGTGTTGTTTATTTAAATTATTTTTATTCTTGCATTCAACATTACCATTTGATTTAGAAACAGACAGTATAGGTATTGCAAAAGTTATCTCAATAATAACTAACTGTTTCTTGAAAGGTGTTATGACTCTTGATAATACATCTGATATTGTTTCATTAAACATTGAGGACAGAAAAAGAAAGAAACTCAATACTTAGTGGTCTGATTATTTAGTTGACGTTGGTGACATAATTAATAACGTTTTGAAATGTATTTATGTCTTTATATTTATATAAATTAAAATTTATTTATAATTATATATTTATTATTATGAAATGAATATAATATAGTATGATAAGTTGTGATTAATTAGTTTATTAACATTGTCTTTAAAAATAATTATTTACAGCTAATTTACGGATAATTTACAGTTTCTTTGTAAAAAATTGTTTTATTTTTAACACTTAATCAACACAATTTAATTTTTGTTTGAAAATAGTGATAAATAATTCAGCCATAAAATTTTTTTATTAAATTTCTATTCATAATTATATTTTTGTTTAATAATAGAAGTGTTTCGCTTTTTTTCATCGGCCCTGTTGTCAAAACTACATGAAATTAGAGTTTCGCGTCCAGTTGTTTTAGTAGTCCCTGAAAACTATGCTAAGTATTTAGCATTCATGAAATAATTACATAACATTAAAAAACTCAAAGAATTTTGGATTCAGAATAAAAAATTCAAAGAAATTTGGCTTCAGAATTATTTCAATTTCAAGCAAATGGAAATAATTGAACACACACCAAAAAAATCCAGTTCTGTCAAAATAGTTAATTGCTTAGCAGATTGCAGAGTTACTCAAATGCAGTAATTTAACAGTTTAATTACTTAAATTGAAGTATAGAAACAGTATTTGTTGCAATTGGTTGCTGTAGGTTTAAGATTATTTGCTCCAACCAAAGCGGTGGTATTACATGATCAAAATTATTCATGGTTAAATTTATAGTTCATTAACTAGTAATGTCTGACTTAGTGTGAACTAAAACGAATGATGCAACATGTTTTTTTATTCAGATTGTTTAAGTTCTAAATATTATTATATTTATTTTTTGAACATAATGATTGAATAATATTTTGCTAACAATTTCATTTACTAAAATAACCTTGTGCTTACAAATCTTTTTACAGCTTAAAACATAATGCCATAAAGTATTTGTTGATAGGGTTGATCAAAATTTATATAACTTAGGCTTTATCAGAGTTATCAAGGCTCCAGAGGGGCCACTACAGTCAAGAAGGCAACCAATTTTGTTTATTGATATTATAGAAAAAAAAATTTAGCAAATTTATTAAAAGTGTAAATTAAAAAATATATATCAATTTAATTATTTAAGCTAAATTTTGTCATTTTAAGTTTTTCTCATTGTATTAATAAATCAAATGTTAATCTTTTTAAGTTTTTCTCTTAGAACTATTGCATCAATGAAAAAGTAAACCAACAAAAAAACGTTTATCAAATCAATGAAAAATGTCTGGATTTACAAAAAAAGAAAAAAGGTAAAAATCAAAAGAACATTAGATTGAAAAGATAAACCTGTCTTGTGCGTTTTTTCATTTGTCATACTTTTCATATTCCATAAAATGGAATATGAAAAATATGACAAATGCTCAAAACCATAAAAGTTAAGAAAAAATAACAAAATAAATAGTAAAAATTAAATAATACTAAAAATTATAATATTTAAATATTTTTTAAAGTTCAGTTTTAAAAAATTGATTCAAATGCTAAAAACTTTAAACTTTTTCTTTCTTATGTAAATCTTGTTTTTTTCTTTTATCAGAGGATTATTTTATAACATTTTCAATGTTTGTTATAAACCATTTTGTCTGTTTGTACATGTATAGTAAGATTGGTTAGAGTGTTAATCTGGTATTGTGTAAGCATATGGTTTAGGTCCTGTTGAAGATTTTTTTTTTCACTCTATCATTTTTATCTGCATTGTCTTTAAAGTTTATAAGCATTTAGAAAATGTAACCTTTACTGATACTTTTACTATTGCCATGTTTGATGTTTTTTTCTGCTGAACTTAGCATCACCATTTCAGCTATGAATTCCATACTTTCACTAGTATGATCCACCATGCATAAGCAGTTGCATACAGGTCCATTACTTTCCACCATGTTTGAGCAGCTGCATTCATTTTATTATCAGTCTACCAATAATTGATAAAATAAATTTTCAATCTGATGAAACCTGTTGGATTTTTTTAAGTGCACTGAAGTTTTGACTAAAATAATTTTAAATTAATTTACACATTTAAATTTAAACCAAGTACAGAAGAGTAGCAACAACCAAAAAAAATATTGTTTTTAAAATTTTTAAAACTCACAGGCAGGCTTTAAGATTCTAAGGACAGGTGCAATTGACTAAATCATCAAGAACGTAAACATAATTTTATTTTTGTTTCCTTTGTTTTATGCACCATATTTAAAGTTATTAATTTTAAGTTTTTTTTTTTTTTTTTGCTTACTCATTTACTTTTTTTTCATTTTTCTAGAGAGAAAAAAAGATATAAATCAACCAAAGAAAAAACGTAAGAAAGAGGAAACATCAAATGGTTGTCCATATTACAGCTCTAAAAAAGTCCACGATTTTAAAGATTACGTAACAGTAATTTCTTTTCATTAGATTTTAATAGATAAAGTATTGTAATAAAATGTTTAAATATAAAAAAAAAAAGCATTAAAGGTACTTATAAATTCTCAAAACAATTTTTTTTATTTGAAAAAGAAATTAAAAAAAAATTAAACATACATTTTAATTACCAAACTGTAGTAAAACACAATGAGCTAAATTGACTGCAAGATTTTGTTTTGTTCCACTGAATTTTTTTCACTCTTTAAGAAGCTTCAAACTTATACAAACCTCAACAGATATATAAACCTTAACATTTTTGAATTATTGATTTTACTTATACACACAGATATATATTTACATAGATAAATTTACATAAACAAAACTTTAAATAAATATTATAATATGGATAATGCTCACATAACTTTATGTGCTGTATGTTAATTTAATAAAAGTTAGTTAGTTCTAATAAGAAACGTTAGTTCTAATAAGAAACATTAGTTCTAATAAGAAATGTTTGTTCTAATAAGAAATGTTAGTTCTAATAAGAATCGTTAGTTCTAATAAGAGGGCAGAATAAAATTATTAATCCATAAATATTATTTTTTGTAAATTGAATGATGCCCTGAACCATGCACTGTGCTCTCCTGTGACTACCATTTTGGTTTATTCGACTTTTTTGTTTTTTATTATTATTATTGAGTTAGGTAAAGTGTTTTAAAATGATTTGTAAAACCTAAGCTCACTTTTAAACATAAAAAAAGGTTTAAATAATTAAAGTATCTATACAAAGTTCATTTTATGATTACATCATTTTATGATTACATCATAAGATATTACCTATTCAAAACATATTATTCATATAAAATTTATTTTTTGTCAAAATGGCTGAAACAAAACTTTTAATTTTTTGCTTATTGTTTTATTGTTTCCATATTTAAAACAACTCCATATTCAAAACTAATTTTGGAGAGAATACAATGTAGAGAAAGGGTGTTGTCAAAAAAACATTTATATTTTTTGCAAAACAATTTTATATGCATTGAAAAAGGAACATCAAAATTAAATGCTTGGATTGAGAAAATATCTCGGAATCCGAGAAACTTAATTTAATTTAAGGAAAATTATCATCCATGCATGAGTGAATACATCATATAATATTGCATTCCAACCTTATTCATCTAGCACCTAACAAAATAACTATCAAGTTATAACATAGTGATAGAACTAATTTTTTTCACAGTTGTTTTAATTGCAGAATTTTGACAGGTTCATTTTAGCTTTTATTTATCTGAAATTTCACCTTTGTTTTACTCATTTTTAGATTAAAATCCATTTTTCACCAAAATAAGGATTACTGTTTCCAAATTGCTTTTTGTAGTAATAAACATACAGTGCTCTCTCTATTATTATAACATAGGTTGTATCTAGTTTGGTTTTAAAAAAAGGCCTAAAGTCTAATATAAACTAGAAAGTTGACATTTTTTAGGTTACAATGTTTATGTATATAAACATCACAAAAACCAAAGAAATTGACATTTCTTTGGTTTTTGTGATGTTTTCATAACTCTTTCTGCTTTTATACAGTCAGAGATGTCCTGACACATTTTTTGATCTTATTTTAAATTTCCTAAAGCGCATTGCACAAAATTGCATCATCATTTATCCTAATAGCAATGAATTTTCAAGTGGTTGTAACTCTTCCACAATTTTGTCCTTTAATCCCTAACCAAAGTAAAGTAAGTAAAGTAAATAAGCAACCAAAGTAGAGTAAGTAATAATTTAATGAATAAAAAGCATTGCAAAAAATAATTTGTGAACTGTACTTGAAATTAGTAACAAAAACATTACATATTTCATATTTTTTTAAATAATATTAAAATAATACATTTTTAATAGTTTTTTAAAATTTGCTACAAATTTGGTTTTTCACACTGTGCTCAATTGACTTCCGTGTTTATGTTATCCAACTTTAATTGACTTCCATGTTTATGTCATCCAACTTTAACTTTTTTTTTGCTCTCTAAGATGGTACCTACTAAAGATTTGTAAAACAAAATTTTTTTAAATCACATCTGCTGCAGGGTGTCAGAAAAATTGCTTTTTATATGCACCTAAATCCCTAAAATTTTTAGGTGGGTATGTACTAGAAAATTTTTTTTATAGTTTTTATTTTATTTTGCAATTTGGTTACATATGTAAATACTGTAACTTTAAGTCTTAAACATCGGTAAGAGTTTATTATAAAACATTTTCTGGTATTAATCCCAACCCAAATATAAATCTTAATTTTTTTGTAATATTTTGTAACTTTTGTTTAAATTATTTTTTTGCCATGTTTCTCATGATCTAGAATTAGCACCAAAAAAAGATGAGAGATACGCTTAATAAAATGAGCATTATTTAAAAATTTATTGATTTTTTACAGGATCGGATAAAAAATTATTAAAAGAAACAATTAAATAAGGTATCTCTAAGTAATTTAAAACTTTTTTAAAATAACTAAGGAGGCAATTGAAACAGTAAATTAAAATTTTATTGAAAAAAAATGATTTGTTATAATTATGTTGTTATCTTATTATATTTTAGTATTTTAGTATTATTAAAATTAATCAAATATGTTGCAAATGAAAACATATGCTTTAGTTAAATAAACTGAAAAAAAAGAAAGTCAAGTTTCAGATGTTCAATGATCTTTCTTATGCGGTTGTTATTTTCTGTAATATTTGCAACAATTGCCAAAATATGATTTTTTTTAAATAAATTTTTGTGTCTTTTATATAAAAAACACAAATACATATTTTCATATTTCCTCATCCAGAATTAAAAGTCTTACTTTGATCCTCTTCTACCATTATATACTTACTTAAAATATTTGTTGAAAGCAACATTTTCTGTCCATTAATAATATTTTCCTTTTCCATTTTGTGTTTAAGAATATGAACTATTTTTACTGCACATTTCAGGTCTCATGGGCTGCCAATGTATAATTAACAACTTTTTCCTTTTTTCTGCATGTATAAAAATTTCCCTTGCCCTAAATTAAATTAAGATTCATAATTTTATTATTAATTTATAACAAGTTTTTTTCTTAATTAAATTTTTTTAAATAACTTTTTTTAAATAACTTTAAATAAAAAAGTTTAAATACACCTACTAAAGCCTACAATTAGGGAGCATTAAAAATGTTTCTTCAAAAATAAGAATAATTTTGGTTCAGAAGTTTAAACTACTTTTATTTTAAATTTTGACAATGTATTTTATATTGCATGATAAAAAAAACCTTTTTATTTTTACCTTTTTTAACTTGTAGTAACTATATTTCTGGAGTTTCTTTCCCTTGCACTTGTAGGTATATATTTATTTTACAATTCGAACATACATGGTTCAGCACATCATTTAATTTAGAATCAAGCCCAAAAATATATATATATATATATATTTAGCAGCTAATGATTCTATACAGTTTGCTATTGGAATTAGCTTGCATTAGCTTTTATTAGCCCAGCATACAACACATAATGCTATATAAACCTTATCCATATAATAATAGTTTAATGTTTTATTTACATAAACTTATATATGTTAATGACTATATGTATATAATAAATAAAACATTAAATACTTCTCAAAAGCTAATTATCTATATTTTAAACACTTTTTGACAGATTTTGTTTTGATCGTTTAAAATAATTTTGAGACAAATGATTTGTGCCATGTTTGAGAAGCTTGATCCTGACAATATTTTAACTAAGAAATGTTATCAAAAATTACAAAAAAAGTTTATGTTTATATATTTAATGGAGTTTGTACCAGGAAATGTTTTATTATCGACTCTCATCAATATATGTAATAAAATTATTTAAAAAAAAAAGAAAGTTCTAATATATTTGACTTATATACTGATATAATTGACTCGTATAATTTGCAGCAAGCTTTCTAACAACTGTTTTTTTCTCTTTAACTATCTTATTTAATTCCTAAAAACTCCTAACTGGAATAATGTAAGTCTTGTTTTGGAAAGAATGGTTTTATTACTTTAAAAATTGAAAATTTAGATATTTAAAAATTAGAAAAAAATTTGACTGAACATTAGTTTTTTCAAATGTAGATGGAAGTTCAAGACATAGAGCAGATTGTTAAACTTGGAAAAGACTTGAATACATGTCCATATTACGGAACAAGGCATACTATACCAAAGGCACAGGTTCAGTGTTTTTTTTTTTTACCTTACTTGCTTTGTTTAGTTTTTTATTGGAAAGCATTTATTGCTTCAAAGCAATGAATGCATCATAATATCGAAATTAAAATATAAGTTGTTAAAGTTTTTATATGACTTTAGATGGCGATTAAATTATAATAATTAAATATTATAAATATTTATAAATAATTAAATGATTAAATTATAATAATTAAAAATTATAAATAATTAAATTATAAATTTATTTTTATTGTTAGAAAACTGTAAGTTTTTGGTGTTGATTTTTTATTGCTTTATAAAAAGTATTACCAAAAAGTTCCTATTAAATATTATACTTTTAAATAAGTTAAAAATATTATGTTACATATAAAATTATATTAAGTAAAAGTTTGTTATAACCATTTTATAACCATCTCTTATTGTTGCCATAAGTAGTTGTTTGAAAACAAAGTCATCAACGCTACATTGTTAGAGCAAACTAAGTATATAATCAGTGCTACATTGTTAGAGCAGTGCTTAAAGCAACATTACTTATTGAGCTGAGGCTTTGTTAAGTTTTTTACAAACTAAAAACAATTTTTCTTATAGTAGAATTTAGAATTGATTCTTAAGCTTGGTTTAGCTTAAATAGTTAAATCATAAAATTCATAGGATTTTAAAAATAGGTTGAATGTGGGCATCAAAAGAATTAAAACTGAAGTTGTATGCAATATTTGATATGGATTTAGTGTGAACATCATTATATTTAAACATCAAAAGAGTTGAAACTGAATTTGTTTGGAATACTTGAAATAGTTAGAAATAATATCACTACAATTAACCAAATAATGTTAAATAAAGATAAACATTTAAAAACTTTATTATTTAAATGTTTCTAATTTTATTTGCACTATGAATTGTTGTAATACTGTGGTTGGGATAATTTTTATAACACTTTTGTTTACTCTGAAGATATTTCATGTGGAATAACTTAGACATAGTGTGGAATAACTAAGATATAGATCATTTGGGAAACTCTTTTAGATTGAAAAACAGTATAAAAAAATTTATTAGTGTTTGTTAAGTAATTTTTTTATTAATTGATTGCATTTGATTTGTTTTCTATATTTGTTTTAAAGATTTTTATTACTTTCTAAAAGTTTTTATTTCTTAGTTAGTTGTTTTGCCATATCAGACATTGTTACACAGAGGAACTAGAGAATCTGTTGGTATTAATGTAAAAGATTGTGTTGTTATAATTGATGAAGCACATAATCTGATCGAAACTATCAACAATATACATAGTGTTGAAATCCGACAGAATCAAGTACATTTTCTTTAATGATAAGTTTTCAATTGTTCTTTAAAATTTGTTATACATTTCTTTAAAATTGTTGTTTTGTTAACATATACTTACATATATACTTTAAAATTATTATTGTTATACATATATTGTTATTTTATAAAGATTTGTTACGCATTTGTTGGTGTCTAAAGCTGTTACATTTGCTTTTTTCAATGCTTTTAATGAATGAATTAAATATTTCATTAAAAACTTTTTTTCAGATTACATCATCGATTAACCAATTAAAACATTATAAAGATAAGTATTTGTATGTATTTTATTTATGAAACATCAACATTATATTGCTATATTTTATGTTTACAAGTATTTATGTTTCTTATATTTTATGTTTACAAGTATTTATTTATAAATACAGTCCAAAAATGTAATAGTCAAAATACAGTGCAAAAAGCATTAAAGGAAAAATAAAATTTAAAAGCTGAAAGGAGATTAAACTGCAAAGACGTCAAATTAAAATATTTATAGTTTTAAAAACTTAATATAATTATGGTATTAATAAAATTGAATGAAAATTACAGTAACAACAATGCTTATGTTGTTTTTTTAAACAAATTTTTTAGCAAACGATTGAAGGCCATAAACTTGATGTACATTGAACAAATTATTTTTGTTTTTAACTCCCTCTTAAAAGTACTCAAAGGTAAAATATGTTTTAAGTGTTTACAAAAATTAACATATATTGCATAAATTGTTACTTTAAAAAGTAAAACAAATATTTTTAAATTTAGTTTATATTTTTAGAACATATTGAATCACCAACAGAAGGTATTATCTTTATATTATAAAAATTTTATATCATAAAAAATTCATACTTTTTTAATATTATTTGTCTCTTACTATATTTGTAAGTATATATATTTTTTTAAGTTCCAAGTTATAACTTTTTTTTGAAAATTTTAAGAAATTAGGGAGAAAAAAAATTATTAATAGGTTTGACCTTCAAACAACTAGCCACGGAACTGTATATATATATCAATTGCTATCAAAATGATTTTTGTTATATTTAGATTTACTATGACAATCTGGGTTTTGATTCTTTTGTTATAATCATTGTTTAAAAATGTTATAATCATTGTTCAAACAAATCATCTCTTGTTCAACCAACTAAAAACACAATATTGCATAACATCTTGTTCAGTAAAATTGCATCAATTAGCATTCTTTCCTGTCATTAAATTTTTAAAAGGTTTCAGTAAACTGTTTTTTTGCTCTTTAACTGAATTTTTTACTTTCTAGTAACTCCCATCCTATATATTTGTTGCTTGCAGCCTTGTTGGAGGATTGTTTGTTAAAAAATAAAGTTTGATAAACTTAAGCTATTTAATACTTAAATTATTTCATGAGATGGCCGTGGAGTTAATTAAATCAATTAGATACAAGTTTTCTTCCTCTCTATCTTTTGGCTATAGGCCTTAAAGAGAATACTTTATGTTTTGGTTTATGACATTTGTGTCATAAACCAAAACATAAAGAAGGTGTGAACTTCCAAGTAAAATGCTTTTCTGCGATGCTCTGTAATAAGAAAGCAAGGACTTCTAAGTTATATGCTTTTCTGTGATGCTCTGTATTAAGACTGTAAGGACTTCTCGGAGCACATTATTAGCCTCACAAATAAATAAAAAAATCTTACTTAAAAAAGAAGTGTAAAATTTTTAATGAAGTGAAAGTCAATTTTATTGTTAATTATAATGTCTTTTGATGGTTGCCTTTAGCTTTTGTTTAATTAGATGAGATTTTCTCAATAGAGTAGTTTAAACTAATGAGAATTTTGTAGGTTTCCTAGTGGTAGTGAAATGCTATTATTAGCGTTGAAATGCTGCTAATAGCTAACTGATTATAAACATTTGCAAATTATGTCACACAAAAAAACAACTTTTTAGACTCCCCTCCCCCTTGTCACAAAATGATAATATATTATAAGTAATGCTTCTTGTCACAGCTTGTCACAAAATCTATGACCCCGCCCCCTTAAATGTGTGACGTAATTTATGAATGACCCCTAAGATCCATATTAGTTATACTTTTGATAAGTTCAATTAAACCTTTATTGATTAAAATCTAATATTTTTTTATTTTAGAATATTTGTCAACTATTAATGATTTTATTTATTCTGCAAAAATAGACAATGTAAATTTATTTAAGGTATGTTGTTTATATAATAAGAATAATACTAATTAGAAATTTAAAAAAAATAAATAAACAAATACTTAATAAAATAAATGTATAATAAATATTCTACAATTTTTAATTATATAAAATATCATTTAAATATTTGTTTATTTTTATATTTTTTATCAATTTACTACTATATTTTTTTTATCAAACTGAAAATAATAATAGCAATGTTAAAAATTTGTTAAAATAATTTTAAGCTAAAAATATACTTTTTAATAATAATAGTATCATTTAAAGAAATTATTTATTTTTATATTATTTTAAAAAGCTAAATATTATTAGATTCATAAATACTGCGAGCAAAGTTCAATAGCAAAAAAGGTGTGCATTTATTTTCATTATAATTTATATTATATTATTATTATATTATACATTTATAAGTGGATACCAAAACAATCATTAATACATGATGATAATTATTATATTATTATTATTTAGATTTTTGATATTATTAAGTTATTTTCTTTTATTTAACTATTATTTATTTAATTTTTTATTATAAATAAATTTGTGTTTGTAACTCTATTCTGTTACAACTTCCTTGTCTTCTTGGTTTATAGTTGAATGGATTTATTGAAAAATATCAAACAGAGTATGTTACAACACATAGTGAAGAAAATGTTGAGGTTTTGCAAACTTCTCAGTTCATGTATGCTGAGTCATTTTTGTATGCTCTTACTAATTCTGACAAAGATGGAAGAATCTTGGTGACTAAAAGCAGTATGAGTTTTTTGCTTGTTTAAAATTCCTTACATAATATAAACAGTTTAATAATTTTGCTTGTTTATATATATATATATATATATATATATATATATATATATATATATATATATATATATATATATATATATATATATATATACATATATATATATATATATATATATATATATATATATATATATATATATATATATATATATATATATATATATATATATATATATATATATATGTATATATATATATATAAATGTATATATATATATATTTATATATATATATATACTAAAATATTTTAGTATATATATATATATATATATATATATATATATATATATATATATATATATATATATATATATATATAAATTTTTTCAAGTTTTTTCAATCTGCATAACTCAAGTTGTCAAATCTTTTTCAACTTTTTACTTCTAAGAATGCTAATTCTCTATATGCTGGTATCCAATCATCTGCATCTTTATACTCTGTATACCCAAAGACTATAATCTTCCATGATGCACCCTACCACAGATACACTCAAAATTTCCAATTTCTGTCTAAGATTCACTTCATTTTTTATCTTTTAGAGTCACATCACACATTTATTTGTTTATATTTAAATGAAGGTCAATGGTTAACACTATCAACCTTTATTCCCCATGTTTACTCTTGCCGTAATTGTATATTCTGCTCCACAAGCTGATCCAATTTTAACTCTTAGATACTGAAACCTGTAAACTTTGTTTTTTCTCACTATTTATTTTAATCTCTGTTTTTTTAGAACTCTTCATTTAGTAATTTTTATTTAGTAATTTTATTTACTCTTTATTTAGTAATTTTATTTACGCTTTATTTAGTAATTTTTCAAAATAAGCAATCCACTTTTTTACTTTCAAAATTTTAAAAATCACTGTTTTTAATTTCAATTGTTTTTTGAATCTTGTACTTTAATACAGTTTTCTCCAACAACATTTTTATTTTTCCTTACCACTTGCTTTACAACTTTATAAGTTGCAACATTTTTTGCACTATAATTTTTTTGTCCTCTAAATGAATAGCATCCAACTAAATAATTTTTAATGTTTTAAATGTCTAAAAAAGAATTAAAGCCTACAGTAAATGTCTTGTGAAGTAACAATTTGTCTCCAGCTCCTAGAGAAAAAAAAAACATGTAGATTTTGTTTTAGAAGCTTGGAACATTAAATTTGAAAACATTAAATTTATTTGGAAAATTAAAGAATTAAAAAAGTCATCATATGATTTATTTTTATTACCATTAAAAGCAACAACAACAATAGTAACAAAAAACATTGAACTTAAAAAATATAAAACTTTTTCCAACTTTATATTTTCAATTTTTAACTCCTGAACTTTTTGCTATTAAGTTCCTTAAAGTTTCACCAAAAAGTTTTGCATTTGTAAGAATTTTTTTTTTTTTAAACAAATATCTATATTGTCTCATTTCGATGAGAAAAGTATAGATATTTGTCTTATCAAAATGATTTAATAGTCTGGTAGATATATTTCCAAAGAAAACATATTTTGCAAATTGAATTAGAAAATATATTAGTTTAAAGTTCATGAGTGATTTATAATTTATTTTGGTGGAAATATAAAGGTTAGATAATTTTTTAAGGCAAGTGTTTCAATATTCAGTGAGTTATCTGAAATTGCTTTTATAAGATTTGAAAAAAAACTTTTATATTTAGAAGTTCCCAATAAATCTTCTATTAAGTTTCTCATGCTTAATCCAGCAGTACACTTTATTGACATAATAAAAGATTGTAAATCTCTCATTTTGGCAGGTGGAACTATGGCACCAGTAAGTTATGGTTTTTAGTTTACATGCAATAAGTGTAATAACTAAAATTTTTTAATATTATTTAAGTTTTTGGTAAACTATTTTTGTTGAAAAAACTTTGTTATTCAGGTTGGTGAGATTAAAGACTTATTGTTTTACACCTCTGGTATTCCCTCATCTCGAATTACAGAGTTTTCATGTGGTTAGTGTAGTATATTAATATGCTTGTATCTATAATTATTGATAAAAAATAATTGAAAATATATTAATATATTAAAAGTACTAATGTACCTTTAGGTCATGTAATTCCATCTAGTAATTTACTTGTGTTAGCTTTACAAAAAGGTCCTTCTTCAATGGACATGAGTTTTACTTACCAGAGTAGAAACAATTTTGATTTGGTATTATTTTTTTTTAATTTGACTCGAATATAATCATGTGACTGACGGAGTTAAAATTTGAGTTATGCAGATTTTATGTTTTTTGTAGGTTGATGAGCTAGGTCGTTTGTTAGTTAATATTTGTTCTGTTGTTCCTGGTGGCATTGTTTGTTTTTTTCCTTCATACGATTATGAAGAATTTGTTTACAAACGATGGATTAATACTTCATTATTTAATAAAATTGATAGCAAAAAAAAGGTAAATTTTCTAAAATAACATTTGCTAATTTTTTTAGATGTATTTTTTTAATGAGGATAGTAATAGTAATGTTAAAAAATAAGAATGATATTTATGGCTGGAATATATATATATATATATATATATATATATATATATATATATATATATATATATATATATATATATATATATATATATATATATATATATATATATATATATATATATATATATATATATATATATATATATGTAAATGTATATACAAGTAATAAAAGTAATTTTTGGTAGTGCTCAATAGAAAAGTAGAGCAAATATATTTTATATTAGAATACAATTAAAAACTACAATTAAATTTGTAACATTACTCGGAGTTTCACGCTTTATGCGATCATTAGTTACAAACAACTATAGCAACAACAAGAATTATATACAAAAATGCAATACATTGTTAGCTAAGATGATGTTAAAGTTGCAGGTAACAAATTTGTTTTCGTGGCGACATTTCAATATTAATTCATTTTGTTTATTCAATAGTTTCAAAGATGAGGTAATGATATAATATTTTTCTGTTAAACAAAGGTTACATGACTTTCTTCCAGGTTTAAAAGGTTCCGCCCAATTAATAATCTTCCATGTAAGAATAGGATTTAAAAATCCCTTTTTTTTTCATTTCCCAAATATGTTTAGAAAGTTCTTTGATATTAGCTATACTTTTGTATTAAAAGGAGTTTTTATGTTTGTACCAGGGATCTATAAAGGTGTGCTCCATTAAACCAATATAATTTAAACCACAATCCTGTGGTGATATTTTTACATTGCAGTCGTAAATTAAATTTTTACTAAGACACATACCTTGCATAGGACATTGTAAAGGTTGCCGGCAGTTGGAAGAATTGTGTTGGAAACATTAGATAATACTTTTTTATTCTGTGAATTAATAATATTGGTGATGTTTGGAAGACAGCTATAACTGACTTTTAAATTATTCCTATCAAAAATTTTGCAAAACTTATGCGTTTTTGGAAAATGCCTTTCAATTAGATTTAGAAAATTTTTTGCGACGTTGGTTTTTACATTTTGTGAAAACAGAATATTAAACCAAATAATATTTCGTGATCTTGATTTTGGTTTTGATGAGGTGAGATTTTTTGGAAAGTAATCTTTTCACAATACCCACTTGCTGCTAACACATTGTTATAAAATGATGTTACTTTATTGAAAACTTCCTTGCAAGATGAAATATTGCTAATACGGTTAGATATAGTTGGTATAGATTTAATAATACTAGGGAGGTGGTTAGAGTTTATGTTTTTTGAAAGTTATGAGAAAGTCTTTTGTTGTTTGTCTTTTGTTGTTAGTCTTTTTTTGTTATTTGTCTTTTGTTGTTAGTCATTTGTTGTTAGTCTTTTTTAAACTTAAACAATAGCTATAATAATTATTTTTAAATCATAAAAATTTTGGAAAATCGTTTTGGAAGAGTGCTTCAGAGTACTATTCTAAAGCTTCTTGCTAAAAAAAAATTTCCTTTATTTTGAATGTTTTTCAATTATATTTTTTTTAAGTAATTGTTTTAAAGAAAATATATTTAGCCTTTTTTTATTTTACTTTTTACCAGGTGTTTCGAGAACCAAAGTCTGCCATGCTATGTGACCAAGTGTTATCTGAATATACAAATATGATAAAGTTAAGTATCTTTATATCTTAAGCATCTTTACTAAAAGATTGAAATGCTGGTTACAGAAAGAATCTAATAAATATATTTATAAATAACATAAGAAAAGAAAGTCCGGTTCCACATACTGTGTTTTGTATATCAAAATAATGAATTTTGAAAATTAGCAAATTCATAAAAAATTCAAAAAAAATCTTATAAAAATTATAACTCATAGTTTTATAACTTGCTTATTATAATAAATTCATGAAATATTTTTTTAAATTAATAAACATCTAAACAAGACATATCGAACAAAGTAAAAAAATTGTATAAAATATTGTAATCATGAAAGATATCTATTTGAAATCTATTATAACTAAATTAACAAAAAAATAGAAAAGTATAACGTAGATTTGCAACAAAAAAATTAACAAACACTATCTTGTGCAGAATTTTATGTAGATTATTTTAACTAAAAAAAAATATTACATTATCAATTGTATTGATTGAAAAAATATAGAATTAGCCATCCAAAAAAAAAATAGAAAAATAGACATTTAAAAAAAAATAGACAAATCCTGATACAGGTACTTATTATTTTATGTGGATGAAGAAAAAAAAAAGTAACCAGCAACAAGAAATATCATTCTACATATCATTATTTAAAATCTATTTATTTTACAGTAATAATTTAATGAGTTTATATTTTATTACCCATCTTCTAAAATATCTATGAGTATCACTGGCCACCAGCAAAAAAAAAAAAGATACTTAAATCCTGATGCAGGTATTTATTATTTTATGTGCATAAAGTTAATGCATAGGTGTTAATTGTTTTATTGTACTATTGCATTATAGAATATGGATAAGTTTAAACAAAAAGAAGAGCAAGAGAGTTAAATCCAGTCAGCTATTCAAGTTTTGTTATTGAAAAAACTTCATATGCACAACCTGTTAAATTTTAAAATGTGGCAAAATCTAATCTATTTGATTGAACAAAAGGGTCATCTAATGACCAAGGAGCACCCAAAAAGATGAGCAGCATCACTGAAGCGATTATTGTTGATTTATTAAAATTGTGTGATATAGGCTTGAGTAAAACAGGCTCGAAAAGAAAAAATGTATTATTGTTGTTGAAAATTATTTGAAAGAATCAAATCAAACTAGTTTATTTAGACAACAAACTGGATAGAAATTGCTATTCCTGTTTCATGAAATTTAATAATAATAATAAATTCATAAAGAAACTTGCCCAAGAAAAGTAGGTTGCATGCAAACTATTAAAGCAGTGGCCACACAGCCATCTATAATTGACAATTGGTTTGAACAATTAGCAGCAGCAAATAACAAACATAATTTAGGCAATAAGTTGTTTCATATATTAAATTGTGATGAGTCTGGTTTGCAATTTGATCAAGGCAAAGTTGAAAATATTTGTAAAAAAAAGAACAAAAAATCCTAAAAAGCTAACACCATTAAATGAAAAGCAAATGACAACAATCTTGACTTGTGATGTTTTCAGCAATTATTTACCTTATCAAGTATTTTAAAAAAGGCCAACTTATTAAACTGGTGCAAAGGTATTGCCAAGAATGTTTAAAATAACAGTAGTTTGAAGTATCAAAGAAAAGCTTTGATACTTTGAATCATGCCATTCTACCAAAGAATAATGTCGTTCTATCAAAAATTAATGTCGTTCTACCAAGAAAAAATGCCGTTCTATCAAAGAAAAGCTTTGATACTTTGAATAATGCTGTTATATCTTATCCAACAAGTTGGGTAAGATATAAACAAATCAGTATTAAATATGCTTAAAGATTAATTGACACTAACTCTTAATAAAAAAGTTTAAAAAGGTGAGAGAATAAAGCTACCAGCTAATTACAATATGACTTCAGCGAATGCTATAGCTTTCAATGAAGCTGAGCTAGCAACAAAAATCAAAAATTAGACAAACAAGCTGCAAAGAAATTGGCTAAAGAAAAAAAAATGAAAATGCATAGAAAAGAGAAAATGCACAGAGAAAATGCACAGAGAAGAAAAATAATGTTGAAACAAAGTCAGTTGGTTAAATCATCAGGTAAAAAAGGTCAAAAACCAAAGAATCAATCAGAAGACCCACATTTACCTCAAGCTAGTTTACTTCCTTAAGAATAAAAAGGATGATCATCAGATACCAAAATGCTAGTTGAGTAGCATAGATAACCAATGGTTTGCATGTAAACAGTTTTTTTAATGAGAACCAGATTTTTTTGAGCTCTTTTCTCATTAAAAGTAGGAATATTTCTGTCACATTACAACTAGCTAATCACTAACAAAAAGAAAGTAAATAATGTAAAATTATTAAGCATAGTCACCAAAGTGAAAATGTGTAAATGGCTGAGCTGAATGGGGTGTAGTACTCATTGAGAAATTTAATACCTTAACTAAGAGTGAAAATCAAAATTGTTGAGCAACACCGCAAAACACTCAGCAAGCTTACAACCCAAGAACTGGTAAACATTCTATAAGGAACTGAATTAGGTCTTGTAATAGACAAATTTTTGTTTTTTTACATAGTTTGAAGTCATTATTAATAAAATATAATAGTAAATAAGTTAAATCAAAAGGAGATTATTTACTATTCAATTCAAGCACTTGCCAAATATTTTCACTCCGATTTAAAATTTTTTTATAAGGAACTTTTTTTTTTTGCAAAGCAGTTAGTTTCCAGGGTCTCTGAGAAACCTTTATAAATTTTCCTATTAATCTAAAAATTTACTGGTTCTCACCAAAACAAACTTTTTAAATGGTGGGAACCATACATTTCAAAGCTTTTTTTTTTCTGGAATATACTTGAATATTGTTATACATATGTACATATATTAGACTAATTCTTAAAGCAACATTCTTGATAAAAATCTGCTCACCCTTAATTAATGTGTTCTATGTTATGTGTTCTGTATATTGTGTTCTATATAATAAATAAACACCAAGATTCGGTAATCTTTTTTTCAAACCCTTTTAGATAGGTCTCTATTATTATGAAAAACTATTTCTTCAAAAGTATGTCAATTTAAAAGAATTTAAAGACGGAAAATAATATTTTATCTTAAAACACCCTAAAAATTTTTTAATTTTATGTTAAAATGCCTTTAGTTTTATAATTATTATAATATGCTGAATTTTGATTAAGAAAGCTGCTTATAAACTTTTTGTTTTAAATATATTTTGATATTTTTACATATTTACAATATTTCGCTGATCTATAGCGGTCAACATCATCAGGTGTAATAAAAAACATTACAAAAATTGTTACAAAGCTACATAAATCAAGCGGTTTTATAATTATTATGATTTATGTAGTTTTGTAACAATTTTTGTAAGGTTTTTTATAACACCTGATGATGCTGACTGCTATAGGTCAGCATAATATTGTAAATATATAATAATATCAAAATTTATTTAAAATAAAAAGTTTATACGCAGCTTTCTTAATCAAAAATATATATAAATATCAACATTCTGGATTCTATTCTCTATCTCTATAAATCTCAAATCCGGCCTTGTATGGAATACTGTTGCCATATCTGGGGCGGATCTTCTAATGATGCCCTTTCTCTTTTAGACTAGGTGCAAAAACGCATTGTAAACATAGTTGGACCTGCTCTTGCAGCCAACCTTCAACCTCTGTCACATCGTCGTAATGTTGCTTCTCTTTCTCTTTTCTACAAATACTATAATGGACACTGCTCTAAAGAGCTAGCATCTCTTGTGCCATCTACTAAAATTCATTCTTGTGTTACTCGTCATTTAATTAAGTCTCATCCTTTTTCTGTTACTGTTTCTAAGTGCTCCAAAAACTCTTATTCGTCTAGTTTTTTTCCTCGAACATCAGTTCTTTGGAATTCGCTTCCTTCATCTTTCTTTCCTGATTTATATAATTTGCAATCTTTTAAGTTGTCTGTCAATCGTTATCTTGCTCTAAAATCTTCATCTTTTCTCTTCCAGTAACTTCCAACACCAATTAGTGGTTGCTTGCAGCCTTGTTGGAAGCGAAGATAAAAAAAAAAAAAATTAACAAGAATATGGTTTTAAAAGAAATTATTAAAATAATACTTGCAAAATTTTTAGATAATATCTTTTGAGACCCAGGTTGACATATTTTTTCGTGATAATATTAGTGAGCTGTCTTGTGATAATATTAGTGACCTGTCTTTATCTTTGACCTGTCTTGGAGGTAGTATTTCTTTTAATCTTTTAGCCTCTTCATCATTAAAATTTTTTTTTTTTTATTTATAAACAATTTTTATAAAAATTTTATATATATATTGTTTATATATAATTTTATGAACAATTAAATGTGTTTATAAATATGGAATTTACAGTATGGGACAAAACAAGTGCAACCATATAATGCTA